CACCTATGACAATAGGAAAGTACATTTCTAAGAATGAAGGTGAGAAAATGGTGAATCCTTCATTGTATAGAAGTGCCAATGGAGGATTGCAGTATTTGGGACATACACGGCCTGATATAGCTTTTGCAGTAAATAAATTGAGTCAATTCTTACAAACTCCTTCAGATGTGCATTGGAAGGTTGAAGAGAATTTTTAGATATTTAAAAGAAATATTGAACAAGGTCTGTGGATACAAAGAAGCGACAGAATGAACATAACCGGATTTGCTGATGCAGACTGGGCTTCATGCTCTGATGATGGAAGATCTACAGTCGGTTATTGTATCTATTTAGGTGATACTTTGGTAGCTGGTCATCAAAGAAACAGCAAGTTGTAGCAAGGTCTGGTACTGAATCAGAATACAGATCCTTGGCACAAGCTTCTGCTGAAATAGCCTGTATTGAATCATTACTTAAGGAAATCAAAATACAGCCAATTGCATCTCCTATTCTTTAGTGTGATAATCTCAGTGCAAGTGCGTTAGCTTCTAATCCCGTTTACCATGCTCGAACAAAACATATTGGATTGGACATTCATTTTGTCAGAGATAAGGTTCTTAAAGGGAAATTTCAAATCCAATATGTTCCTTCATCAGACCAAATTGCAGACCTGCTGACCAAGCCTCTTGCTCAAATTAGGTTTATTTTTCTCAAGGACAAGCTTGGAGTTAAGGAATAAACTCCAGCTTGACGGGGGATGTTAAAATAATCGCAATTGAGGCCTACTAACCACCTACTACTGCAATAATCACGCCATCTTGGAGAGCTGCTATTGTGCACCTTTTGGGACCTCAAATTAGCTGTTATAACTAGGGGTGTTCAAAAGTCCCAAACCGAACAAGACCGAACCAAACCCGAACCGAACCGAACCGAGCGGTTCTTCATAAATTAAATACCCGAACGGGTACCCGAATCGAGAACCGATGGGTTTGGGTCGGGTCTAGACCAAGAACCGAAGAACCGAATAAGAACCGAAACTAAATAATTTTTTTATTTTTTATATTGAATTAATTAAATTATTTTATTTTTTTCTATACAAATTAGCAAATTAATTAAATAAATCAGATTATTTCATAATTTTAATTTTAAA